AGTGTGCATATTCTGTTTATCGGCAATAAATAGCATAAGACGATTCATACGGGTAAATACGATTTACTTCAGAACTAGTATAGATTATTTAAGGTTAGGGGGAAATGTATGTAATTAACAGAACTTTGGCCGGGTTTGAAGGATTTGGGTCCTGGCTTGGGCTTTGTGTTGGACGTGTAGACGGCATTTCCAGGTTTGACGTATCAATGACAAAAATGATGTCAGATGCAATTCTCTGCCTTTTCGGGTGAACAATTGGCTTGCCTTTGGATGTGTTTGTGGCGGGTGCCACTAGTGGATCGGAATGAGCTCGCGTTTTTGCGAGCATCCAATGTCATCATTTATTATGATGAATCATGAAACATGCTCCTGATGTTGTCGCAATGGTGCAGTTGGCGCTACTTTTGGCAAGGGTTTCTCATGATAATGGAAATGCTTATGTCGCTTTTGTTGACAGATAAACATGAAAAGATATGATGTTAGTGTATATGGTCATGTAATTAAGAAACAAACGACGAGTGGGAGTTGTTTATTGTACGATAAACAACGACCGAGACTCGTTTATTTCTATATGAGATATCAACATTACGTACAGCCTCTTTTAGGGTGTTAAATTAGGAAAAAATACACGCTTTACAATATTTACCCGAACTTAAATAATGATGATTCCTTGAATAGAATCCGACAGCGGCCTTGCTAGATAAATCCATTTTAGGATTTGAGTTTGGTCCCGCATATTCTCACAATTTTCTCGTCAATCATCTGTACCTTTTCTCCCAATACCGATTGTCATATCACTCTCACTTTCGGATTCTCCAGCAACATTTATTGGGAACAACTCACTAGACACATACCTCTCAAAAATAAGGTCAAATTTACAAATTTTACTTTTCAAGTTGCGAGTGCATGTTCGAATCTCAATTAATGACGTCATGCTATAACAATGTTTTATCGTGAAATAAATATCGCTTCCTTCTTTGTTCTTTGTGATTTATCGCGTAGCTATCTTATATCATCAAATGCCAATTTCTAATTGCTTTATCATGACGTATCCGTGTCATGTAGCAATAACATACACAAATATCGTTGACTTCGACGTTGAATAGTGTCATCAAATATGATTATCCTCTTGTGTGCAATATTTCTGGTTGATAAATCTAACATATTCTTACTTTAAGAATAGCGACTATACATTATTATATATCCCTTATCAGGTCTCTGTAACATTTGCAAAATGATACAAATATAAAAATTCAACTGAACCTAAATGTAATGTTTTTATATCCTTACGTTGCTGAGTGCAGCATTTAACAACAAACAAACAAAACATAATATCTTTAAGAATTATGTTAACAATTCCGATGCTAAAAATAATCTCACAATCTCCATACCTCTTTCTCTCTATGAAAACATAATAACTTTTTTTTAATAATCTGAAGGAATATTAATGGCAATACTATCATAATTATCATCATTATTTATGTTACTTATCCTCAAGTGAAGTAGTCCTCCACACTATACATTCAGTGAAGAAGCCCATGAACATATGAACTATGTAACATACATTCATGGAAATTAGATGAACAGTTGAAGTTAGCAAATGATATTATTCGGTCGAACGTCTATCAGCCATCTATTCTATTCATGAAGAACATTTCACGTGGGACCAACAGAGGGAATTATGACTATCGACTTGCTAATTATTTTTTATATTCATGCCAGCTCAAACGATCTATTGGCTTGATTTATTGTTATGGTATCCACAAAATAAGTAGGATCCGATTTTTTCCGTTTTTGTTGAAATAAAACTGAATAATATTTGCTGTTTACATATCAAAGTTTGCCAAATTGTTACAAAATGTTTGCCCACAGCAAGGCTACGTATCCCCAACATATTGTGCTAGGCACAATATCACTGGACTGAGGGAGGGCGGTATTCCTCCTTGTGGGTCACCTGCTTGGCAATATGGGACGGGAAAACTGCAGGGGGTGAGGGCAGTTAAGTTGATGGTACAGACAGATAAGAGAGATCATTTTACAAATGTGAAACCTCAGTCCACAAAGGAAGAGGCGAAAGCTGAAACTTGGTGAGGTTTACAGAATAAAGGCATTTAATAAAACAATTAATGCGTGTGTGTGTGTGTGTGTGTGTGTGTGTGTGTGTGTGTGTGTGTGTGTGTGTGTGTGTGTGTGTGTGTGTGTGTGTGTGTGTGTGTGAGAGGTAGAAGAAGAATTGTACACCATAAAAATGGCTACGTATGTAGTTGGGGTAGATATGTTGAATGCCCGGCCAGTATGACCTTTGAGTCACTACAGTTTCAGTCATTAAAATGCGTAAAACAGTATTTGAGTGAAAGAAAACACTATAAGTGAGTGAAACAAAAAACCTCAGTACAGGCACACCCAGTCCCCCAACCCCAAGTCTGCATGTACCAATACTCATACCTGCCACATCCTCAACCACTTAACTTACTCACACAATCATCTGACAACATGTTCGCCAACCCTCGTATCACAACGCATGCACGCATGCACGCACGCACGCACGCACGCACGCACGCACGCACGCACGCACGCACGCACGCACGCACGCACGCACGCACGCACGCACACACACACACACACATCAACATGTACATATTATATATCAGCAAACAGAGATTATTATAACGCAATAGATTTCATCCGTCAAAACATCACAGAAAGAGGGGCAGCCTGGAATTTTACAATGGCATCTGAATGCACTAAGACGTTCAACTGGTCAGGAGGTGAGAGTTGCGGAAGATTACGGTAAACTTCAGTTACAGATCTCCATTACGAATATCTAAAGTATGAATAAAGATCACAGCTTGCTATGACGTGTACTTCATGCCTGCAGAATTAGCAATGTCCTTAGCCTCTAAATTGTATGTCTAAATGCTTATGTAGACAAAGACCCAAATGTATATAGGCATGACCATATTATATTCTACGCAAATATCACCACATTTAAAAACAAAGCTAGATTGAGTCTTTGAAGGGCATTAAGAACTGATACACACAAGGAAAAATATTTATGGATGTCAACGGAGGAACACTGCGTTTCGGAATATATACTTTCTCCTTCATCAGGTGCATATTATTAAATGCTATGAGGCAGAGAACATATATTTGTACCTGTAAGAACAACAAAAGTAAAAAGATAGCAAAGAAGGGAACGCAACAAGGGAAGCCAACAGATAACTGGCATGGCGCTGATTACCCCGCCTCCCGTTTGCCCATTGTCCATTTCCCATTACCAATCATTCATAAGTTAAGTTTTGGCTTTAATTTGTCAATTGATAATCAACCACCAACGTCTATTATCTCCACCCTAAAAATATGTAGTTTACTGAGAAAGTGGTATCCAAATATAATGTGTGTTACTGTTGACCACTTTCTTAAAGGCATTGTTGGTTCAAAGTTTTCGGTCATAGAAGCCGTGCCATTTTTCTCTTGTCAGAGGAGTACACAAAGTATACGTCATCTGGACTAACATTTTTGGTTCGGTGGCTGGGTTAGATTGGGTGCCTCACTCACAGTGTTGGTTCAAATCCCGGACGGGACTCAACCCAAGAAAGTACGAGAATCTGTACTTTACTCAGAAAGTGTTATCCCAATTATAACATTTGTTGTCAAGAAAACACAATAAAGGTATATTCGGCTTTGGATGGGTAATGACATCACAGACATATACGGATATTGATGATGACTTGGAGGAGCTTCGTGACGCACGTCTTCTCAATTCAGGGATTGGTAAATCCAAATATGTGTGTGCGCGTGCGTGCGTAAATGTGGGCCTGTTGGATGTTACATAAAACATTCATCTTGAGCGGGATGGTAGTTCGAGTTGGACTAGCATGTTAACTATATGATCTTCTTTAGGCAGAGAATGCCGCGCATGAATGTATTGATGAAATTCCCAGGTACATGGGGCCTTTTCGTCCCCAGGAATACCCACAGTGGAGACTTCAATGGGGATAGGGTGTACACAATGTGCTACCTGGTAGATTGTGTCATCACACCGGACAACGTTGGTCTTTGACTGATTTTGGCGTAAAACACACTTATTCATTTACTTATATCGGAAATTGAATGTTCATCTTAATTGTTATTGTTGAACATGTAATATATTTTTAAAGAAATAAAACAGTGACATAATAACTACAACTTTATGTGAGCGCGAGTAGCTTTTTTGGAATGAGATGAATAAGTCTTATAAAAGTGTAAGCTTCTTCACATCCGTGTAACTATGAATTGACTTTATTGGGTAATCAAAAAAGAGATAGGACATAAAATAGCCAAATTTCATACGATTTCACTTGTCCACCATCTTGGATGCAAGGCGAAAACATTTCAGCGCGTTTGAAGCCACTGAGAATGCCCCCTGCAGAGTTGAACTTTTCTGCGGTGGCGCGGCTGAGTTGACCAGAGGCTATCAGCAGTATTTCCTGTCCAGGTTATTTAGGTCAGTTGTTTGTGCGTGCGTGTGTGTGTGTGTGTGTGTGTGTGTGTGTGTGTGTGTGTGTGCGTGGGCGTGTGTGCGTGTTTGCGTGCGTGCGTGTGTGTGTGTGGGGGGGGGGGGGGGCGTGGGGGGGGGGGGGGGGTGAGATTGGGGGGATAGATGATAGATATAGCAACAAGTAAGGTCATCTTGAGTGGGAGGGTATTCGTAGATGGATTAGCATATGAACTATGATTCTCTTTAGGCAGAAAATGAGGATCCACGATGTTCGACCTGGTAGAAGAGTGTTATCAAACCTCACAGCATTGGTTTTTTGACTGACTGTAGCGTCAAAACAAACTCATTCATTTACTTGAACTGAATGTTCATCTTAATTGTTATGGATAGTCACGGAGCCATGATCCAGAGAACAGGGTGTCATTAGATAGAAATAAACTATGTAATAATAGGATTACCAGAAAAACGGGGTTTTACACACAAGCCAATAAACTTCGCTCATTAACACCAGAGTAAGCACTAAAAGATAATGCAGCTCGGTCAGATATCATAGAAAGTCCACTCGTTTCGTAAAAATAGTATTTAACAAGAATAACTGTAGTATTCTCCATGGCCCACTTACTGAAAAAAAAAATATTCATACAATATAATGCACTGATACAAAGTTTTCCCAAAGCATACGGAATCTCTTCTAAAAGCAGAGCCCATTGCACAAAGCATAAGCATGTGGTTATGAATCACTATCAAATAGTGATAAAAGCAGGTGTTTGCAAAAACATCATCAGTCAGAGCAGGTTCATCATTTTACAACTTTAAATGTAGTTTCAAAGTTAATCTGGGTTGTCCATGAAAGCTCGAAAGGTGGGAGGTTTAAAAGTGGGAGAACATTGACGGCGTTTTCCCTGAACCTCTCCTCTATAACCATCTGCAGGAACACGTGACCTTGCGCCAGGGTGACCACGTGACTCATATGCCGTTTCACGTGATACGGAAAATCTGCGAAGTCATCTCCAAATATATCCATGCCGTACCGGAGGCCCAGTTCGCAGTTGCTAGGCGTGCCAAACGTGAGTAATGTTGTTTCGCCTTTATTGCCTTTTGACCTCAGACACAGTGCTTCCGGTTCCAAGATGTACTTCATATTGCTGGGGAGGAAGCGGAGTGGTGTCCAATCTATCACAATTTTTTTCACTGGAAAAAGACTTTTGCGTGATTCTTCAGAACAAAGAGGTCCAGTAGATCACTTGACGTCATTTCCTGCAAGACCGGATATGGTCCTTCTAGCTCACGAACATGTGTGTCTGACATCTTGAATCGACCATGAACCAGGCTCTGTGGATGTAATATACAATAGGTTTAGGGAGGACAGTGTTACATAATACAGTAAAATTATGGTAATAGAAGTTTAATGCTACCTTCCGGCATCGATACCTACCACAAATCCAATTTAACAAGTACATCATGTGGTATTTGACGTCTCCACATCTCTGAATAGTATATTTTAATTATATTACGGCCAGCCAGCTTTAATGTCATTCCAGTTTCAATTGTTTGCCATTTCAACGAAAAGAGAACAGAAGATTAAGGAATGAGAAATCATAACATGTTATGAAGCCAAGGTATGGCTAACAAATCACAGATCGTGAAGAAAGTGGGACTAGAAATCTATCCGATGGAGCTGAACTTGACTGAGGGATGAAGAACTGCACACAGAGCCACTGAACCACACCTTACTCACATTTGTGGGTATTTTGCCTGTTCTTTCATGGTCGTGCTCATTAATATTATTACCAGGAAGGTTCCACGCCATCAGGATACGAGGAGTGAGTGAGTGAGTTGGATTTTAACGCCGCTTTTAACAGTATTCCAGTTACATCACGCGTGACAGCCTAATGTTGGAGGAAAGCCCGAAGTGATGCAGGTCTAAGACGTTTACCACTTCGGTGAAACCCACGAGCACGGGTATGGTGCTTACAAACCTAGAAACATAATCGGGGAGAACCGGGATTCGAACCCACAATCATAGGTTTCTGGCGTGCCCAAGGGACGCAACTCTGCACAGCGCCTTAGACGACTGGGCCACCCGTGCCCCCCAGGATACGAGGAGACTCAATAAGCCAAGTCACCGAGCATTACATTATGAACTTCCCTGTTCCGGGTTAAAACAGGTCCCCAGTAACCTAAGATGGTCGGCATAGGCGACGAAATGAATCGGGCTGTCAGGCTCGGCGTCGTCACGATATTGATCACTGGATTGACTGGCCCAGGCTGAATTATTTACAGTACGCTGACATATGGCCCGGATATTGCTGAGTGCGGCGTTAAACAACGAACAGACGTAGTCAAAGACACACGAATGAGAATACCTCGGGTCTATTAGTTTGCGTTTAAAGCTTTGGACACATGTAATTTCGGGTCAAGATATGCTTGTTTAACTGACAAGAAAACGTTATTCAAATATGACCAAGTACATCAAAAAGACACTCACTGCACAATACGAACACAGTTGATGGTTCTGCTCCAGTTTTGTAATATCCTAAAAAATCCCATTTTGTATGTTGCATGTTTGTCATCAGTAATTTCTCGTACGAGTTTTAACACTAACCTTTCTATTTAATTCTGTGTGTTTTCTTAACAGGTGATCTTTATTAGCGTCGTAGTTGTGATTGCCGGTCGTCATCACGTCATATTTGATGGACGGTATATCCCCATACTGACGTAGACGTATTTATTGAGTTTGCCGTAGATCCCTTGTCCTCGGAAACCTTCCTTCGTCCGGGCTCCTCTGATCATGAAGGTCTGCCCATCATCGATGATGAATGCTGAGCAAAGGGCAATCTGCAATGCAATGTTATAACTCCAAAGTTCTAGATTATTGCACTTATATGCGTGCGTGCCTGCGTGCCTGCGTGCATTCCAGTCCGCAATAAATAACAGTTTTATAGTGATACCATACTGAGATACCATGCCACAGTTTAACATAAATACCCCACTCAGACACAGTATACAGACTCCGAGCCGACCAGTTTCATTATCCCCTTAATGCCTACTGCGGGACACACAATGTCTCATCTTATGACGTCTTTTGGTATGACGCGGCCGGGGAACGAATCACTGACATTCCGCTCTCCAAGCAGACGCTCTATCCATTAAACGGAAGCAGTCACATTTTAAAACATACATTATATTAACCTAATCATGTTTGCTTGTTTAAAGCCATACTAAACGATATTCCATCTCTTTGACAGTAGTCTGTAAAAAAATTAATCAACTCTGAAACTGACAACCAGTGATTGATCTCCGACGCCGTCAGGGTAGATGACATGCAACCAACCTAATGACACAGCGTGACCACCCGATCCACTAAGTAGTATCTTACGAAAAGAATAGGTTGCTGGGGACCAATTTTGAACCGAAATTCCGACAAGGGACTCGTAGTGCAACTAGAAACAGTCAAACAAGACCACCCTCCAAAACAGTATAATACCCGCCATTGGTACAAATAACCTCAGACACACTTCAGGCTAGCGTAGTAATGCTCATAAATATTAACGAATATAGAATAGAGTATAGCAGTCTTCAGCGAAAAACGACTTCGTGGAACCTTCACTTACATTTTCATCTCCGATCACGTAGACGTATGATCTGTTGTTTGGGTCGTCGATGTATGTGTGGTAGCGATGCCCGAGATAGTCCATCCCCTGGTACACATCACCAATCTGCATCAACTCATCGAAGTCGTCGTGAGTGGCGCGACGAATTGAGTGAGCCGCCATTTTGAAAATTTGCTAAATTAGGAATAGGGATCCAAGACGATTGTGTAATGTTGCCTTCTGATGAATAAAAAGAAGACCTGTAAGATCTACCAAGGAAAAAAGGTTTCATCAAAAAAAGAATGAAATATACACTCATTGCGGGATAAATGACTTTGATAGGTGTTGAGAATTAACTGTTACTTGAATGAAAGGGGGTAACTCTTGTATCTGTCTGTCTGTTACAGTTGGCTTATTCACCCACCTTAAAAAAATACAAACCAGATTTTAGTACCGAAATAATGCAATTAATATTTTCATTAAATATGTATTCACCTCAGTACACAATAAGAATTACTTTGAATAATGAGAAAGCATTGTTTTAAGAATAATGACAGACACCAAACTCTGCCCAAACAGGTCCATTGTCCACCACTGTATGGAGCTCAGGGGCGTCTGCTGCACCCAAATATGATATTTCCTTACAACTTTTAATGAATGACTTGGTCTTCATTACACAGTTGCCTCAGAAGAATAGTTTTAGAGTTATATCCCCTTACTTTCTTGACAACTTATTTTATAGCAGTTCATTCCTTATGCACCTCAAATGAATGGAATATGAACTCACTGTTTGGAAAGTTATGCCACATCCAACATGTAGACCATGCCAAGGTCTATCACATCTTTATGCATACACTTAATTATAGATATAAGATAGTTACGCTATATATCACAGAGAATAATGAAGAACAAAGCGTGGCTTATTTCACGATAAAACATTCTTTTATCATAACGTCATTTCTGTGAATCGAATATGCGCTCTCAAATTGGATGATTTTTTAGGGAAGTGTCCAGTGAGTTTTTTTCCCATAGATGTAGCTGAGCTACACAGATAAAGGTAGTGGCAGAACGACCACACACAAAAGTGGGAGACAGGACAATCTGTATTAGGAGAAATGGTACAGATAATCGACGTGAGGATTGTGAGAATATGCTGGAAATACCAAACTTAGCCAACCTGTTCGTAAAATGGACTTGTTTGACATTTCTGAAGTCAGTTTCTGAAGCTTGTACAGTTTATCAACATCCTTAAAGACGCAGTTCATAATGTTGATATCAAATACAAGAAATAGACGACTCGTAGTCGTTGTTTATCGTACAATAAAACACTGCTGCGCCCCTCATGGTGTGTTCTCCCTGCAGTGTTTTATTGTACGATAAATAACTCACACTCGTTGTATACAATATGTACATTTGATATTTGATATCTGCATCAACAGATACCCTAACATGAAATTAATACATCCTGTGAACATATACTAGTAGTTCATATAAATAGCACAGACAGATGTGAAAGTTTCATTATATGTTTGCCATGACAATCTGATTGTTAATGTTGTGGTAAGTGCATATTCATATCTTCACAATTATGTATAATTAATCAATCCATTGCGATTTCCCTCTAACACTGTCTAACGGGTCTTCTGTCTTGCAGTCATCCCACACCATACCATAACGATGCCGGCCCCGAACCGGTCTTCTTCCATGACACAATGATTGACGTAACGTTCACTTCGACGTCGGTACACTCGAATCCGTCCATCGCTGTGGCTGAAGTGAAAACGAGACTGTTCAGTGAATAAAACTTGTCCCCACTGCATGGCCTTCCAGCGTAGACGCTGTCTGCACCACTGTAGACGTGCTTGACGGTGGTTTCCTGTCCATATGGGACGTCTGGCGACAATCCCTGCACATCTGAGGCGACGAAGTACGGTTTGTGATATATTCGTCGAAGGCTAGGGATGCTTCTTGCAGTCACTGTTGCTGGCTGGAATCGATTTCGTAGGTGTGTTGTTCGAATCCAGTTGTCTTGTCGATTATTGGTTACGCGTGGCCTACCACTCCAAGGATGGTCTCTGACTGCATTCGTCTGTTGCCAACGTTGCCATAAACACCAAATATTGTTTCTGTGGACGTAAAATTGTCAACATCACGTTGACTTGATCCTGCTTCAGGCGTGCCAATGGCTCGCAGACGCTCATTTTCGGACTGGCGTGGCATTTCGTAATGTTGAATAATTGCGTAATTTTGTTGTTTCTCTGAGTGGTTGTTGTCAGCACGATGCTAAACAATGCATATGGAATCCCGTCAACGCAGATGTTTTTTAAGTATTTTCTTGGGTAGTGAAATGCATTGGGCTTGCATAATAGTTTGTGTGACTTGATTCCATACATGTACTACAATATTGAAAACCAAATTTTACTTGTTTGAAAAAAACACTAAAATATTGGTGTCACAGGAACTTTTGTTGTTGAGTATAGAAGTTGATATCCATAAATTGTGTCTCCGTTGTCATCCGTCAATTTCTGAGAAATGCCTGTTAAAGGTTTTATCCACAAATCGTGTCCACTTTGACGACTCAACAACACCACCTGTAAGAGTCGTCTGTTCACGGGTGGCGGGGGAACGAAGTAAAGGTTAGACGACGAGGACCCAGTGTCTAATCGTTGAAATGGTCAATTAAACCACGAGGCGCGCCGAGTGGTCTCACATTCTTAAACCGTGTCCAACATTTATGACACCTTCAATGCTTAAAAAACTTTATTTTGTTAAAGGTATTTTGAAAGATATTCAGGAACTCTGAGCTCACCTGTGAGAACACTGTGTGAGTCGGCCCTGCGTGTTAAGCACGTGAAATGTGTTCCCCGAGCCTTTCGCACGTGCACCTCGCACTTTACCAATTTGGGTAATGAAATGCATGTCCCGGGGCAAGTATACCATTCATTTTGGACCAACTCGAACACATTTATCAATCAACTAACTATTACTTGTCCATGTTGATGTGCCTATTATGAGCAAATATAGCCCTGATCAAGATAATAGTAATTTCTTTTCTATCTGTTCGTTTGGTTGAACGAAAAGCTACAAAATCACAAATACTGTTCAAATACTGGAATGCAAAGAGTAACATACTATATACCAATCGCATAAAACACATTTCGCAGTTCATAAAGGGAAAAACAATTGGTACTGATGTCATTAAATATTTAGTTGTCAATTTCATACCCTTTCTCCCATGTCGCCGTGGCAGAAGACTACATTCGTTTTCCATCAGTGCAGACTGGCGACAAAGATTTTCATGAAATTGTTCTATCATCAAGACAAATGATAGGGAAAAAAAAATTCGCCAATGCCAAGTTGTGTTTAACTAACAATTCACTTAGCAACAATTCAGTTAGTTAGACCACGGTCAAAGACAAAGTAGCCCTGGTTTATATGTAAATAATCGCGTCCCAATTCTGACCCATCCTGAATTATCCAATGTGTTATCTCCATTCCGCCTTGATATTGACAAACTCGCTATCAGAGTTTTGAGCCCGATTGAAATGAGAGAAATTCTATGCTAAATCGATGCAGTGTTGACGTCCCTTCCGAAACGAAGCTATGGTGGCGCATGTGTCAAGGGTATTTATTAGAGATACAATGCACTGGCTAATCTTGAGCGGGTCTGACCTGGAATCCCTACAGTATTCCGACCCTGACGCAAACATTTACAAAACAGTACCTTACCGTACCTTACAGTACCTTATATTACCGTTACATCCACTGTACGTGTGTCTATGGCGGCTCATCGACAGAGTAGGACACATACACAAATAGGCCAGGTCAAGGAGCACTGATGTCGTGTGTTTATACAGTGAGTCACGTGGTTACAGTTCTCCTGGATATTGACAATGTTCGTATATGTTGTTTCACAGTGATCTTGAAATGTCAGCACATTATTTATTACTTGTAATACGATATTCATCTTATATTACGGACATTTATTGCATATATAGAGGTTATTATACGAGCTTGTGTGTCATACTGGTCTTACGAAACGAGTGTCAGAATTATTGTATTTGCCAAGCGAAAGCGAGTTTCGTTAAACCACCATGAGAAACATGTTAGCGTAGTAATTTCTTTATTCGCCATTATTTCTTAATCCCTTTGAGCTCCCCTTTAGAGAAAAATTCACTGATCACCACCGCTGTCCTAGAAAAACACAATTTGTCGAATGACTTCAACAACCTGACATCGTTCTGGTATGACGTCATTCCATCCTTACGTCACAATGAGATTCGAATCACGTCAACAATGCCGTCGGGATGACGGAAACAATGCGCGAGAATGGATACTGGCATTAGTGCACATACGATGTTTATGAACTCGGTTATTTCGAACCCTGTGGGTTATACATCAAGCTATAGCACGCGTAAAATATGCAATAAACTTTGCAACAATGGTATAGCTCGGTGCAGCAAACAGTAAACAAAATTTCGATTATCTTATGTTCTAAACTTTCGAACAAAAGAGAATACACCCATGTTTAGCCCAGCAGTACAGAACCATCAACATTGACATTCAGATTATGACCTTGGCTTGTTTAAGAAAACTGTGGAAAGCCTTGTTTTCATCAGGAGTCTTGACATGCTTCACAAGAGGATCATAAGACAAAGAAATAACAATTCTACCATGAAGAGCCTCTACGTTAATCAAACCACCGACTTTAGCATAGGTTTTCATATGCTTATGGAATGGCTTTTGTCGTTTTTCAAGACACACACACGCACAGACTGAGGCACACACACAGGCACACACACAAACTAACACACAAACACTAACACATAAACACACTCTCACACACACTCTCTCACTAAGGCAAAATACAGGCAAACACACTGGGGTTTAAGGCAAATACAGGGAAACGCAGGCAAATAAGGCAGACACTGAGGGATTAAGGCAAATAAAGCAAACTCTCGGGGGTTAAGGCAAATACAGGGAAAACTGGGGGATTAAGGCACATACAGGCAAACACACTGGGGGTTAAGGCAAATACAGGCAAACATAGGCAAATAAGACAGACATTGAGGTATTAAGGCAAATAAGGCAAACACTCGGGGGTTAAGGCAAATACAGGGAAAAACTGGGGGATTAAGGCAAATACAGGCAAACACAGGCAAATAAGGCAAACACTCGGGGGTTAAGGCAAATACAGGGAAAACTGGCGGATTAAGGCAAATACAGGCAAACACACTGGGGGTTAAGGCAAATACAGGGAAAAACTGGCGGATTAAGGCAAATACAGGCAAACAAACTAGGGATGTTGGCAAATAAGGCAAACACTCGGGGGGGTTAAGGCAAATACAGGGAAAACTGGGGGATTAAGGCAAATACAGGCAAACACACTGGGGGTTAAGGCAAATACAGGCAACCACAGGCAAATAAGGCAGACATTGAGGTATTAAGGCAAATAAGGCAAACACTCGGGGGTAAAGGCAAATACAGGGACAAACTGTGGGATTAAGGCAAATACAGGCAAACACTCGGGGGGTTAAGGCAAATACAGGGAAAACTGGGGGATTAAGGCAAATACAGGCAAACACACTGGGGGTTAAGGCAAATACAGGCAAACACAGGCAAATAAGGCAGACACTGGGGATTGAGGCAAATACAGGCAACACTAGGGAATTAAGGCAAATACAGGGACAAACTGTGGGATTAAGGCAAATACAGGCAAACACACTGGGGATTAAGGCAAATACAGGCAAACACACTGGGGTTTAAGGCAAATACAGGGAAACACAGGGAAATAAGGCAGCCATTGGGGGATTAAGACAAATACGGACATCACTAGGGGATTAAGGCAAATACAGGCAAACACATTGGGATATTAAGGCAAACACACTCGGGGTTAAGGAAAACACGGGTAATACCAGGGGGTTAAGGCAAACACAGGCAAACACACTCGGGGTATTAAGACAAATACAGGCAAACACACTCGGGGTATTAAGACAAATACAGGCAAACACACTCGAGGTATTAAGACAAATACAGGCAAACACACTTAAGGTTAAGGCATATACAGGCAAACACTGGTGGTTAAGGCAAATATATGGAAACACTAGGGGTTAAGGCAAATACAAAGAAAAACAATGATTGTTTACAAGGATTGGTGGATGCAAGTTTCTAAATCAGTCACTTACATTTGCACTTTGTTTCTATTTCTGCGTCTCCGAGATAGCCGATATACAGAAGGAAATAGTTAAACACTTGGCGCCGACTTGTTAAACAGTCCCTATCGCGTGACTTTCCATACTATTATGTTCCGTCATTGTTGAAATTATAGGAACATGCACGCAATAACTCATTGTATAAATATTATATCATAAATGATCATGGTGCTGACTGCATAATAGCTAATTGCTGTTGGCAAGTATGCTAGTGTTTCGATGTTAGATATGCCCAACGCTATTGAAAACATATTGTATACTAGAATATCGTCAACGATAATATATTAATCAAGTTGACAGAGAGTGGAATATATGAATCTATCTCACCAATAGCTTTTACGATGCAATACATTTCAGGAAAGTAGAATTGTTGTTCAATGTTTAACAGTGAATTTAGTTCTCTTAAAGTTTAATGAGGTGAACAATCAAGTACAAGCTGATGAAAAACACACGTTTCGCTTTTGCATCAAACAATGCAGAAGTTGCACTCGAAAATCACATCAAATCAACGAAACCTTTCCGATGCATCTTTCATGGTAAAATAATCAACATTTGTTTGAGTGCACGTTGCCGTTTTACATACCATAGTGATATTATTTATCAATCTTTCACAGCAACACAATATCCAACAAGAATGAGTTCGAACACTGCTGTTCTCATTGTGTATCCTCCCGCTAAAAACTCCCGTGTTCTTCAAAACGCCAAGATAAACTAATTAACACAAGCCCAATGTGGAACAGTAACAGTAGCTTATGAACACAAGCCTAATGTGGAACAGTATCATTAGCTTATTAACACAAGCCTAATGTGGAACAGTAACATTAGCATATTAACACAGGCCTTATGTGGAACAGTAACATTAGCATATTAACACAAGCATTATGTGGAACTGTCATATTGGCTTACTAACAGAAGCCTTATGTGGAATGGTAACATTCGGTTATTAACACGAGCCCAATGTGGAACATGAACATTAGCTTATTAACACAAGCCTAATGTGGAACAGTAACATTAGCATATTAACACAGGCCTTATGTGGAACAGTAACATTGGCATATTAACACAAGCCTTATGTTGAACTGTCATATTGGCTTATTAACAGAAGCCTAATGTGGAATGGTAACATTAGCTTATTAACACGAGCCCAATGTGGAAGATGAACATTAGCTTATTAACACAAGCCTAATGTGGAACAGTATCATTAGCTTATTAACACGAGCATAATGTGGAACAGTATCATTAGCATATTAACACAAGCCTAATGTGGAACAGTATCATTAGCTTACTAGCACAAGCCCAATGGCGAACTGTAACATTAGCTTATTAACACGAGCCTAATGTGGAACAGTGTCATTAGCTTATTAACACAAGCCTAATGTGGAACAGTAACATCAGCTTATTAACACAAGCCCAATGTGGAACTGTAACATTAGCTTATGAACACAAGCCTAATGTGGAACGGTAACATTGGACATGATGACATACAGACACATTTTGACCTTAGCAGAAGGCGAGAATATGATGTAAAATACAGCATGCATACGTCGATGTGTTAAATATCAGAAGAGATTACAACGTTATAATACCATGTCGACCATATATTTTAGATGTCGTGCCTAATACAGTAGAACACGGATATAATGAACACGGATATAGCGAACAAACGGATACAAAGGAGTGTTAAAAATCCCCGATTTATCTCCTATGCAAGTCATTACTGCAACATGTATTGTGTTTTGTTTTATCCAAGATGGCGGACGTATCCGAGCGAAAACGTATATGACGAACAGCGGATATAACGATCAGATTTCTCTGGTCACTTGTACTTTGTTATATCCATGTTCTACTGTATGGTCGTGAGTTCGATCCTCACCTGGGGCATTTCTTTTTTTTCAATAGCAATACCACATGGTGTGCTCACAACTGGGTGGCATAAAAAATGGGATGTAACTTACTTCTTCCAGGACAATAGTTATCATCTCTATCAAGAACAGGATATTAATTGCGTTTACGGGCACGCACATTATAGCTTGCATTAGGGTTCTACCACAACCTAGGCAAGTCGACCATATGGTACTTAAAAAGCACAGTTTCCACCATAGACCCGTTTGTTGACGCATACTGGTTAGTTCTAAAAAATATAAATCCCGATCCCCGCTGTCCACACCAGGCCTCGGTAGCGGTTTATCCTCACTTTGCCACCAGGCTACCAGGCCACCAGGGATTAACAGTAGCAATGTTTAAACAAGCATAGCCAACTCCGAGCAGGTGGACGTCAGCCTCATAAAATAATGAAATTTTGTGCATATCATATATCAAAATTTTGAGATAACCCCTTGTGCCTTCTATTGTTCAACCAATTACCATGCCTGACTGATTTTCATACTGGGAACAATAGGTGGTGGCAAAGTGAGGAGATCCCGAACAACATTACCTGTCCAATCCAGGTTCATTCATCCGTATTAAACAAATTGTCTCTGCCATTATGAAATTGTCAAACATTGAACAGAAAAGAAGGCTAAAGACAACTCACCGTTGTGGGAGAGTGTAAGTTGAAGAAACGATAAGCCGACTGTCTCCGTGTTCTGTGTTATACTCCAAACTGAGACGGCGGTCTGTAAAATAATCGAGTCTGGATCAGATAATCCAGTGATTGACATCATGAGCATGGATCCACGCAATTGGGATTGATGATATGTATCAACCAAGTCAGCGAGCCTGACCACCCTATCCCGTCAGTTGCCTTTTACGACAAGCATAGCCGACTTTTACGGCAAGTATGGGTTGCTGAAAACCTATTCTATCCCGGAATCTTCACAGGTCGTGCACAATGAGCATATGAGTGAAACATAATGGCATTTTGTTTGTTTTTTATATATATTAGCAATTATCGCCGTGGGCGCTTTTTAGAGCGGGTCGCTTATTACGTCGAATACGGTACATGTCACTAAAGTATTATCAAATAGGTCACGTCAATCTTCAATTGTCCCTACAGTTGCCCGAGTGCTTGTCTCGCTTATTGACTGACCTGAATTTGAAGGTTGTCAGTTCCCTCACTTGTCGACACAGTCTGAAGCAAACGTACCATATTCTCTATGGCTGTACATTGAACGAGGGAGTGAGGTGACGGTGACTGAGTTAGTGAGTTTGGTTTCACGCAGCTTTGAACAATTTGTCAGTAATATCACGGCGCGTCAGCAAGATGTGGTAGAAGGCAGTTCTACTACGTTTTCCTGTTTGGTTAAAACCATGAAAACGGCTAGGGTGCTGACAAACCGAGAAACATAATCCAAGGAAATATAAGATTCGAACTCACGACCATAGGTTTCTGTAGAGCCGGGGGGACAGTAATAGCAATTCTACACTGACGACAGGAACGCCGGGTCCCCTCTTGAGAGACTTTGTGCAGTATATCTTCATGTGTATTATTTTAAAGAACAAAACCAATTGCGGTTTTTGCCGTATTTACAACATTGTATCAATGGCTGTGGAAATCAAAACTGCAAACGTTTTTACCATGGAAGCTTGCTTGGTTGCTTGTCATATCACCCTTAAGACATAGAACGATGCTGGTAATGTCAATCACTGGTTTCCAGGTCTCATCATTACTTCGAAAGCTCCTATGAACTAGGTGAAGTGTTAACGTGATAATATGAAACAATGTACACATGGTTCACTCCCAATTGTCAGACATCCCATTTGTCAGACGACCCAATCGCCAGACAGACCAGTCAAGTGTGACCAGTGTAACTGCCTTGCCTTACCTACTAATTAATGAGCTGCTCCTAAATGTGGGCAGAGCATGCTACTCCAACTCGTTAAGTGATACAGATTAACCAGATTATGTCTACGCGTTTGATCTGTGTCTGGTTGCGTGTGTTTTATTAGCAAAGATTAAGAGAAGTTTTTTCCAATGATGGGTTCACTTGCTCTAAAAATCGACCAGGCCAGACCACACACTGGTGATGTATCATCAAGACCTGCCGTGGGAAATGTTCCACTGTTGGGGACTTACTACCATAAAGATGTCTCGGACCACTGCCACCCACCTTGAGATCAGACGCCTGTCACGTTTGTCAGTACTTTCAGAAAATGGCAATAATGCAATGATGCAATGAATACTTCAAAAAGTGTGATTTCTGGTATGATTTGATGATTAAAAGTGCATAATAAGCCTATCCTGTAAATTCCTCAAAATGTGTGTTTTCTGGTTTGTTCCACTTTAATGAAAGGTAACCATTGCTTGACTAACCAAACTTGACTTATCCTGGTATAAGCTGTCTAACAAATGGGATGTCTGACAATTGGGAGGTTACCGTACACATTAACATGTTACAATCTTCCTCCATCGTTACCATGCGTACTGATCAGCTCCATAGTGAAAGGGTGAGTTGGGTTTAACGCCGCTTTGAACAGTATTCCAATGATACGTTTATCACTTTGGTGAAACCCACGGGCAGGTGTATGGTGCTGACAAACCTAGAATGATCGGGGCGAACCGGGACTCGAAGCCACGATGATAGTCTTCTGAAGTGCCCAATGGACTCAACGCTGCACAGCGAATTGCAGCGCCGTAGATGACAGGTTGAGTGATCATAGAATAAACATAGAAGTCGGGAGCAGAAAGAAACCTTCAGAATCTTTATTAGATATGCGAGTTTGTGTTTGCTGCTCAGTCCGAAGAACAACGACAAGCACTAATTGATGTCGTGCAGTAAACATAAAGTAGAACGGTGCCCCATGCATAATACGCTAGGCTTAAAGACAGCGCCAATATAACTTAAATCATTTATCAATCTATAAAACATGGGGACATGTGGTACAACCAACAGAAACAGAAAAAAGACACCCGACTCGATTATTTACAGACCGCCGTCATATAGCTGGAATATTGCTGAGTGCGGCGTGAAACAACAAACAAACAAACAAAACTTCCGGCTACAGTTCGTTTGGCCTACAATGTTATCAAAAAAAGTTATGGACAAGTGATGTAAGGTTTGATCGCTTCGAAAAATTTCCTGGCATATGAAAGCATTACAAGAAGAGAGTTGAATATCTCTAAATACAATGGCATTTGATAACACGGTAACTGGATATAGCAACAAGCACTGATAGATATTGCAGCTCGCTTTCGCTCGGTCAGATATCATAGAAAGTCCACTCGTTTCGTTAAAATAGCATTTACCAAGAATGAGTGTAGTATTCTCTATGGCCCACTTACTGAAATAAAATTATTCATACAATATAACGCACTGATGCAAAGTTTTCCCAAAGCATACGGAATCTCTTCTTAAAGCAGAGCCCATTGCACAAAGCATAAGCATGTGGTTATGAATCACTATCAAATAGTGATAAAAGCAAGTGTTTTCAAAAACACCATCAGCCAGAGTAGGTTCATCATTTTATCACTTTAAACGTAGTTTCAAAGTTAATCTGGGTTGTCCATGAAAACTCGAAAGGTGGGAGGTTTAAAAGTGGGAGAACATTGACGGCGTTTTCCCTGAACCTCTCCTCTATACCCATCTGCAGGAATACGTAACCTTGCGTCAGGGTGGCCACGTGACTCATATGCCGTTTCACGTGATACGGAAAATCTGCGAAGTCATCTCCAAATATATCCATGCTGTACCGGAGGCCCAGTTCGCAGTTGATAGGCGTGCCAAACGTGAGTAATGTTGTTTCGCCTTTATTGCCTTTTGACCTCAGACACAGTGCTTCCGGCTCCAAGATGTACTTCATATTGCTGGGGAGGAAGCGAAGGGGTATCCAATCTATCACAATTTTATTCACTGGAAAAAGACTTTTGCGTGATCCTTCAGACCCAAAGAGGTCCAGTAGATCACTTGACGTCATTTCCTGCAAGACCGGATATGGTCCTTCTAGCTCACGAACATGTGTGTCTGACATCTTGAATCGACCATGAACCAGGCTCTGTGGATGTAATATACAATAGGTTTAGGGAGGACAGTGTTAGGTAATACAGTAAAGTTATGGTAATAGAAGTTTAAAACTACCTTCCGGCATCGATACCTACCACAAATCGAATTTAACAAGTACATCATGTGGTATTTGACGTCTCCACATCTCTGAATAGTATATTTTAATTATATTACGGCAAGCCAGCTTTCATGTTATTCCGGTTACAATTGTTTGCTATTTCAACGAAAAGAGAAGAGAAGATTAAGAAATGAGAAATGAGAACTTGTTATGAAGCCAAGGTATGGTTAACAAATCACAAATCGTGAAAAAAGTGGGACTAGAAATCTATCCGATGGAGCTTGACTTGACTGAGGGATGAAGAACTGCACACAAAGCCACTGAACCACACCTTACTCACATTTGTGGGTATTTTGCCTGTTATTTCATGGTCGTGCTCATTAATATTATTACCAGGAAGGTTCCACGCCATCAAGATACGAGGAGTGAGTGAGTGAGTTGGATTTTAACGCCGCTTTTAACAGTATTCCAGTTACATCACGGCGTGTCAGCTTAATGTGGGAGGAAAGTCCCAAGTGATGCAGGTCTAAGCTGTTTACCACTTCGGTGAAACCCCACGAGCACGGGTATGGTCCTGACAAACCTAGAAACATAATCGGGGCGAACCGGGATTCGAACCCACAATCATAGGTTTCTGGCGAATCGCGGCGCCTTGGACGACTGGGCCACCCTTGCCTTCCAGGATACGAGGAGACGCAATAAGCCAAGTCACAGAGCATCGTTGACTGCTGAGTGCGGCGTTGAACAACAAACAGACGTAGCCAAAGACACACGAATAAGAATACCTCGGGTCTATTAGTTTGCGTTTAAAGCATTGGACAAATGTAGTTTCGGGTCAAGATATGCTTGTATAAATTACAAGAAAACGTTATACATATAAGACCAAGTACATCAAAAAGACACTTACTGAACAATACGAACACAGTTTATGGTTCTACTCCGGTTTTGTAATAAAAAAATCCCATTGTTTTATGTTGCATGTTTGTCATCAGTAATCTCTACGGATTTTATAACTAACCTTCCTATTTAATTCTGTGTGATTTCTTAACAGGCGATCTTTATTAGCGTCGAAGTTGTGATTGTTGGTCGTCATCACGTCATATTTGATGGACGGTATATCCCCATACTGGACGTAGACGTATTTATTGAGTTTGCCGTAGATCCCTTGCCCTCGGAAACCTTCCTTCGTCCGGGCTCCTCTGATCATGAAGGTCTGCCCATCATCGATGATGAATGCTGAGCAAAGGGCAATCTGCAATGCAATGTTATAACTCCAAAGTTCTAGATTATTGCACTTATATGCGTGCGTGCGTGCTTGCGTGCGTGCTTGCGTGCGTGCGTGCTTGCGTGCGTGCGTGCGTGCGTGCGTGCGTGCATTCCAGTCCGGAATAAATATCAGTGTTTTAGTGATACCATACTTAGATACCATGCCACAGTTTAACATAAATACCCCACTCAGACACAGTATGCAGACTCCGAGCCGACCAGTCACATTATCCCCTTAATGCCTACTGCGGGACACACAATGTCTCATCTTATAACGTCTTTTGGTATGACGCGGCCGGGGAACGAACTACTGACATTCCGCTCTCCGAGCAGATGCTCTATCCATTAAACGGAAGCAGTCACATTTTTAACAAACATTATAATACCCTAATCATGTTTGCGTGTTAAAAGCCATACTAAACGATATTCCATCTCTTTGACATTAGTCTGTAAACAATTAATCAACTCTGGAACTGACAACCAGTGATTGATCTCCGACGCCGTCAGGGTAGATGACATGCCACCAACGAAATGACACAGCGTGACCACCCGATCCACTAAGTAGTATCTTACGAAAAGAATAGGTTGCTGGGGATCAATTTTGAACCGAAATTCCCACAGGGGACTCTAAGTGCAACTAGAAACAGTCAAACAATACCACCCTCCAAAACAGTATAATACCCGCCATTGGTACAAATAACCTCAGACACACTTCAGGCTAGCGTAGTAATGCTCATAAATATTGACGAATATAGAATAGAGTAAAGCAGTTTTCAGCGAAAAACGACTTTGTGGAACCTTTACTTACAATTTCATCTCCTATCACGTAGACGTATGATCTGTTGTTTGGGTCGTCGATGTATGTGTGGTAGCGATGCCCGAGATAGTCCATCCCCTGGTACACATCACCAATCTGCATCAACTCATCGAAGTCGTCGTGAGTGGCGCGACGAATTGAGTGAGCCGCCATTTTGAGTAAGGATCCAAGACGATTGTGTAATGTTGCCTTCTGATGAATAAAAAGAAGACCACTATAAGATCTACCAAGGTTTCATCAAAGAAAGAATAACATATACACTCATTGCGGGATATATGACTTTGATAGGTGTTGAGAATTAACTGTTACTTGAATGAAAGGTGGGTAACTCTTGTATCTGTCAGTGACGTTTGGCTTAATCGCTCATCTTAAAAAATACAGATTTTAGTACCGAAATAATGCAATTAATATTTTCATTAAATATGCATTCACCCCAGTACACGATAAGAATTACTTTGAATAATGATAAAGCATTGTTTTAAGAATAATGAAAGACACCAAACTCTGCCCAAACAGGTCCATGGTCCATCACTGTATGGAGCTCAGGGGTGTCAGCTTCACCAAAATATGATATTTCCTTACAGCTATTAATGAATGACTTGGTCTTCATTACACTTTGGCCTCAGAAGAATAGTTTTAGAGTTATATCCCCTTACTTCCTTGTAGCAGTTCATTCCTTATGCACCTCAAATGAATGGAATATGAACTCACTGTTTGGAAAATTATGCAGTTAATGTAGGATTTTAAATCATACCTTCACCACACATTATGGATATTTTTATCTACCAAACTTAATAAAATATAGTTACCATGTTTCATCAATGTGTGCATCCTCTCACCAAACCAGTTTCGACAAGGTGCAAGTTTTGAATATAAAACCGATGCGCTAATATTAAGATTGTATTTTAACATACTAATTGACATAATTATCATAAAATAGAAAGTAATCATCTCGATTTGTTTCAGACTGGTTTGAAGTGGGATAAAAGAATATGCTTGGTACTATTTACGTTACGGTTTATGAAATTGTAATTGATTTATGTCTATACATCATATATATGTTTGTAATGTTCGGCATAACATTTCAACATATTTTTGAAGGAAATGGCAATCAATTTACAGTGCATTTTTCATTCACTATTAATATGCCTGTTTTTAACAGAATCCTTCCATTGAAATGATTTATGTGTTTGTTTGCTCTTTAACGCCGCACTAAGCACTATTCCAGCTGTATGGATCTGGCCTCAAAATTCTCAAGTCTGGACCAGACAGTCCTGTGATTGACATCATGAGCATCGATCTACGAATTTGGGATACAATGACATGCAACAACCATGTCATTTATCCTGGCCACCCGATCCCTTTAGTCGCCTCTGATGAGCATGGGTTGCTGAAGATCAACTTTACCCTGGATTTGATATCACCATGACAACTTGAGATATATATTGGTAATCATCTAGTCAGCAAAATACAATGAACTTAGCTGCATGATGTAAATCTCGTAGTGTTTACACAGTATTTAGTTTTTGCAGACTGATGTCTGGATCTTCACCACAGCATGTTTAGGTTGTGTTACCGCTGATGTCAGTGATGAAATAAAAGATCACATCCAACATGTAGACCATGCCAAGTTCTATCACATCTTTATGCATACACTTGATTATTTCACGATAAAACATTCTTTTATCATAACGTCATTTCTGTGAATCGAATATGCGCTCTCAACTTGATGACGTCATATATTGGATGACACTATGTTTTAGAGGGAAGTGTCAAGTGAGTTGTTTCCCTTAGATGTAGCTGGGCTACACAGATAAAGGTAGTGGCAGAACGACCACACCCAAAAGTGGGAGACATGGCAATCTGTATTAGGAGAAATGGTACAGATAATCGACGTGAGGATCGTGAGAATATGCTGGAAGTACCAAACTTAGCCAACCTGTTCGTAAAATGGACTTGTTTGACATTTCTCAAGTCGGTTTCTGTTCAGGGAGTTATTATTATTAACATTGGGGTAAATATTTTTAAAGCTTGTACAGTTTATCAACATCCTTAAAGAGGCAGTTCATAATGTTGATAGCATATACAAGAAATAGACTGCTTGTACTCGTTGTTTATCTTATAATAAAGCACTGCTGCTCCCCTCATGGTTTGTTCATCCTGCATCTGCATCAACAGATACCCTAACATGAGTGAGTGAGTTTGGTTTTACGCCGCTTTTAGCAATATTCCAGCAAAAGCACGGCGGGGAAAACCAGAAATGGGCTTCACACATTGTACCCATGTCGGGATTCGAAACCGGTTCTTCGCGAACGCTTTAACCACTGGGCTACCCGCCCGCCCCCCTAACATGAAATTAATTCATTCTATGACCATATAGTTAATTTAAATAGCACAGACAGATGTGAAAGTTTCATTAACTGTTTGCCATGACAATCTGATTGTTAATGTAGTTGTAAGTGCATTTTCATATCTTCACAATTATGTATAATTTACACATCTATACTGAACAACAATAGTTCCTGTGACATTGAATTAGATTTAATGCAAAGTTATGTTTTTTTACCAAATCTGAAACAATTTCGGTTTGCAACAGATAAAAGACTCCTCTAAGTGTTCAAATGGTTTAATTTGCCATAATGACTTCAGCAAATGCGTGATTTCATAAAAAAACCCAACATGAACATGCCAAAATGTCAATTTACAAATCAATAGCGTGTGTGTCCACCTCGTGTTGTGATGCAAGCAACACAGCTTCGTCTCATGGAATGTACCAGGCGTCGCACAAACTCATGTGAGATATCTGTCCATATCTGCAGGAGCATGTTTCGAAGTTCCTGGAATGTCTGTGGAACACGTGGTTGACGTTGAAGGCGCCGATCCATCTCATCCCACATGTGCTAGATTGGTGAGAGATCAGGGGAGCGAGCCGGCAAGAGGATGACATTCACTTTGTTTTGTTGAAGAGAATCCTGCACAAGTCGATCAATATGAGCGCTGTCCGTTGAGATTTCCCTCTACCACTGTCAAACGGGTCCTCTGTCTTGCTGTAATCCCACCCCATACCATAACGATGCCGCCCCTAACCGATCTTCTTCCATGACACAATGTTGGACGTAACGTTCACCTTGACGTCGGTACACTCGAATCCGTCCATCGCTGTAGCTGCAGTGAAAACGAGACTCGTCAGTGAATAGAACTTGTTCCCACTGCATGGCCGTCCAGCGTAGATGCTGTCTGCACCACTGTAGACGTGCTTGGCGGTGGTTTCTTGTCCAAATGGGACGTCTGGCGACAATCCCTGCACATCTGAGGCGACGACGTACGGTTTGTGAAGATATTCGTCGAGGCCAGGGATGCTTCTTGCACTCACTATTGCTGGCTGAAATCGGTTTCGTAGGCGTGTTGTTCGAATCCATTTGTCTTGTCGATTATTGGTTATGCGTGGCCTGCCACTCCGAGGATGGTCTCTGACTGCACCAAATGTTGTTTCGGTTGAGTCAAATTGTCTTGCAACATCACTTTGACTCGATCCTGCTTTGGGCATGACAATGGCTCGCAGACGCTCATTTTCGGACTGGCGTGGCATTTCGTAATGATAATTGCGTAATTTTGTTGTTTTTCTGAGTGGTTGTTGTCAGCACGATGCCAAACAATGCATATGGATCCCGTTAACGCACATGTTTTTTATACGACGAGGAGCTCCGAGTGATCTAACATTCTTAAACAGTGTCCAACATTTATGGCATCTACAATGCTTAAAAACTTTCTTTTGTTAAATGTATTTTGAAAGATATTCGGGAACTCTGAGCGCACCCTTGAGAACACTGTGTGAGTCGGGCTTGCGTGTGAAGCGAGTTAAATGTGTAACCCGAGCCTTTGTGCACCTCGGACTTTACCAATATGGGTAATGGAATGCATGTCTCGGGGCAAGTATACCATTCATTTTGGACCAACTCGAACTCATTTATCAGTCAACTAAATATTACTTCCCTATATTGATGGGCCAAATATAGTCCTGATCAAGATAATAGTAATTTCTTTTCTATCTGTTCGTTTGGTTGATCACGATATGGCTGAAATATTGCCGATGTGACTTTAAATTAATTCACTCACTCGTTTGGTTGAACGAAAATCACAAGTACTGGTCAAATACTAGAATGCATAGAGTAACATATTGTATAAAAATTGCATAAAACACATTTCGCATTTCATAAAGGGAAAAACAATTGGTATTGATGTAAGTAAATATTTATACCCTTTCTCCCATGTCGCCGTGGCAAAAGACTACACTCGTTTTCCATCAGTGCGGACTTCGCGGGTTCAAATCCCGCTGGCGACAAAGATTTTCATGAAATTGTTCTATCACTAAGACAAATGATACGGGGAAAAAGAAGTTCCGCCATTGCCAAGTGGAGTTCAAATAACAATTCACTTAGTAACAATTCAGTTAGTTAGACCACGGTCAAAGATGTAAATAATCGCGTCCGGACCTGTCAAACCAATACAAGGAGCTGTGGACCAATTCTGACCCATCCTGAATAATCCAATGTGTTATCTCCATTGCGCCTTGATATTGACCAACTCGCTATCAGAGTTTTGAGCCCGATTGAAATGAGAGAAATTCTATGCTAAATCAGTGCAGTGGTGACGTCCCTTCCGAAACGAAGCTATGGTGGCGCATGTGTCAAGGGTATTTATTAGAGATACAATGCACTGGCTAATCTTGAGCGGGTCTGACCTGGAATCCCTACAGTATTCCGACCGTGACGCAAACATTTACAAAGCAGTACCTTACCGTACCTTACAATACCTTATATTACCGTTACATCCACTGTACGTGTGTCTATGGCGGCTCATCGACAGAGTAGGACACATACACAAATAGGCCTGGTCAAGGCGCACTGATGTCGTGTGTTTATACAGTGAGTCACGTGGTTACGGTTCTCCTGCATATTGACATTGTTCGTATATGTTGTTTCACAGTGATCTTGAAATGTCAGCACATTATTTATTACTTGTAATACGATATTCATCTTATATTACTGACTTATTGCATATATAGAGGTTATTATACGAGCTTGTGTGTCATACTGGTCTTACGAAACGAGTGTCAGAATTATTGTATTTGCCAAGCGAAAGCGAGTTTCGTTAAACCACCATGACAAACATGTGAGCGTAGTAATTTCTTTATTCGCCATTATTTCTTAATCCCTTTGAGCTCCCCTTTAGAGAAAAATTCCCTGATCACCACCGCTGTCCTAGAAAAACACAATTTGTCGAATGATTTCAACAACCTGACATCGTTCTGGTATGACGTCATTCCATCCTTACGTCACAATGAGATTCGAATCACGTCAACAATGCCGTCGGGATGACGGAAACAATGCGCGAGAATGGATACTGGCATTAGTGCACATACGATGTTTATGAACTCGGTTATTTCGAACCCTGTGGGTTATTCATCAAGCTATAGCACGCGTAAAATATGCAATAAACTTTGCAACAATGGCATAGCTCGGTGCAGCAGTAACAGTAAACAAAATTTCGATTATCTTATGTTCTAAACTTTCGAGCAAAAGAGAATACACCCATGTTTAGAAGGTGGCTAAAATGAAACAAACAAGAAATGGATATTCAATGGCGACGAATTTGATACGGGTATCAAAGGCGATATCACATGCTTTGTATCAATGAGGATCTATTAACGGGTGACGTGCACATGACGTCTCAAGGAACATATGGGTCGCGCTCTCACAGTACGCGTTTATGAGCAGAGTGAAGCAGCTACTGATCAGTGTGAGTTTGGTCACAGATACCAGACATTCTTACGAACGAACATGAACACGGCCATTTTTTATGCAAAATAACACATTGTCAGTTTCAAATTGGAAGTGACTGGTCCTGAGCAGCAAACAAATGCCTTCTGTTTCACTTTTCAGGCCAGCCGATTTCATCCAAGTGAATGACTATGCAGGGTTCCTGATCCTAACAACACACTGCACATAAACGCGATGCAGTGGTTGTTCAGATAGACTCTCTTTGAAAAAGGAGTCTTGTCCGATTTGATATGGCAATTTTAATTTGTTGACACTCATTTCTGTACCGTCCAGCAGTACAGAACCATCAACATTGACATTCAGATTATGACCTTGGCTTGTTTAAGAAAACTGTGGAAGGCTTTGTTTTCATCAGGAGTCTTGACATGCTTCACAAGAGGATCAAAAGACAAAGAAATAACAATTCTACCATGAAGAGCCTCTACGTTAATCAAACCACGGACTTTAGCATAGGTTTTCATATGATTATGGAATGGCTTTTGTCGTTTTTCAAGACACACACACGCACAGACTGAGGCACACACACAGGCACACACACAAACTAACACACAAACACTAACACATAAACACACTCTCACACACACTCTCTCACTAAGGCAAATACAGGCAAACACACTGGGGTTTAAGGCAAATACAGGGAAACGCAGGCAAATAAGGCAGACACTGAGGGATTAAGGCAAATAAAGCAAACTCTCGGGGGTTAAGGCAAATACAGGGGAAACTGGGGGATTAGGGCAAATACAGGCAAACACACTGGGGGTTAAGGCAAATAAGGCAAATTCTCGGGGGTTCAGGCAAATACAGGGAAAACTGGGTTATTAAGGCAAATACAGGCAAACACACTGGGGGTTAAGGCAAATACAGGCAAACACAGGCAAATAAGACAGACATTGAGGAAGTAAGGCAAATAAGGCAAACACTCGAGGGTTAAGGCAAATACATGGAAAAACTGGGGGATTAAGGCAAATACAGGCAAACACACTTGGGGTTAAGGCATATACAGGCAAACACTGATGGTTAAGGCAAATATATGGAAACACAGGGGGTTAAGGCAAATACAGGGAAACACACTGGGGATTATGGCAAATAAGGCAAACACTCGGGGGTTAAGGCAAATACAGGGAAAACTGGGGGATTAAGGCAAATACAGGCAAACACACTGGGGGTGAAGGCAAATACAGGCAAACACAGGCAAATAAGACAGACATTGAGGTATTAAGGCAAATAAGGCAAACACTCGGGGGTTAAGGCAAATACAGGGAAAAACTGGGGGATTAAGGCAAATACAGGCAAACAAAGTAGGGATTTTGGCAAAAAAGGCAAACACTCGGGGGTTAAGGCAAATACAGGGAAAACTGGGGGATTAAGGCAAATACAGGCAAACACACTGGGGGTTAAGGCAAATACAGGCAACCACAGGCAAATAAGGCAGACATTGAGGTATTAAGGCAAATAAGGCAAACACTCGGGGGTTTAGGCAAATACAGGGAAAAACTGGCGGATTAAGGCAAATACAGGCAAACACACTGGGGATTATGGCAAATAAGGCAAACACTCGGGGGGTTAAGGCAAATACAGGCAAACACAGGCAAATAAGGCAGACACTGGGGATTGAGGCAAATAAGGCAACACTAGGGAATTAAGGCAAATACAGGGACAAACTGTGGGATTAAGGCAAATACAGGCAAACACACTGGGGTTTAAGGCAAATACAGGGAAACACAGGCAAATAAGGCAGCCATTGGAGGATTAAGACAAATACGGACAACACTAGGGGATTAAGGCAAATACAGGCAAACACATTGGGATATTAAGGCAAACACACTCGGGGTTAAGGAAAACACGGGTAATACCAGGGGGTTAAGGCAAACACAGGCAAACATACTCAGGGTATTCAGACAAATACAGGCAAACACACTTGGGGTTAAGGTGAGGTGAGGGGAAATTGGGTTTAACGTCGCGTCCAAGATTATTGCACTTATATAGCGACGTGCATGCACGCGTGTGTGTGTGTGTGGCTGCTTGAACTAGTCCGGAGTGATGCCGATTTATAGTGCTAGCTCACTGAGATACCATGCCGCAGTTTAACATGAATACCCCACTCAGACACAGTATACTGACTCCGAGCCGACTAGTCCTTGTTTTAGCCCCTTAATGCCGAGCGCCAGACAGGGTAACAACAAGTACAATCTTTTAACGTCTTTTTGTATGACGCGGCCCGGGATCGAACCCTGGACCTTCCGCTCTCCGGGCGGACGCTCTATCACAAGACCACGGAGGCGGTCCTTGGGGTTAAGCCGATATACAGAAGGAAATAGTTAAACACTTGGCGCCAACTTGTTAAACAGTCCCTATCGCGTGACTTTCCATACTATTATGTTCCGTCAATGTTGAAATTATAGGAACATGCACGCAATAACTCATTGTATAAATATTATATCATAAATGATCATGGTGCTGACTGCATAATAGCTAATCGCTGTTGGCAAGTATGCTAGTGTTTCGATGTTAGATATGCCCAACGCTATTGAAAACATATTGTATACTAGTATATCGTCAACGATAATATATTAATCAAGTTGACAGAGAGTGGAATATATGAATCTATATAACCAATAGCTTTTACGATGCAATACATTTCAGGAAAGTAGAATTGTTGTTCAATGTTTAACAGTGAATTTAGTTCTCTAAAAGTTTAATGAGGTGAACAATCAATTACAAGCTGATGAATAACACACGTTTCGCTTCTGCATCAAACAATGCAGAAGTTGCACTCGAAAATCAAATCAACGAAACGAAACCTTTCGATGGATCTTTCATGGTAAAATAATCAACATTTGTTTGAGTGCACGTTGCCGTTTTACATACCATAGTGATATTATTTATCAATCTTTCACAGCAACACAATATCCAACAAGAATGAGTTCGAACACTGCTGTTCTCATTGTGTACCCTCCCGCTAAAAACATGATAAAATTATTAACACAAGCCTTATGTGGAACAGTAACATTAGCATATTAACACAAGCCTTATGTGGAACAGTATCATTAGCATATTAACACAAGCCTTATGTGGAACAGTAACATTAGCATATTAATACAAGCCTTATATTGGAACAGTAACATTAGCATATTAACACAAGCCTTATGTGGAACAGTAACATTAGCATATTAACACGAGCCTAATGTGGAACAGTAACATTAGCATATTAACACAAGCCTTATGTGGAACAGTAACATTAGCATATTAACACAAGCCTAATGTGGAACAGTATTATTAGCATATTAACACAAGCCTAATGTGGAACAGTAACATTAGCATATTAACACAAGCCTAATGTGGAACAGTATTATTAGCATATTAACACAAGCCTAATGTGGAACAGTATTATTAGCATATTAACACAAGCCTAATGTGGAACAGTAACATTAGCATATAACACAAGCCTAATGTGGAACAGTATTATTAGCATATTAACACAAGCCTTATGTGGAACAGTAACATTAGCATATTAACACAGGCCTTATATTGGAACAGTATTATTAGCATATTAACACAAGCCTTATGTGGAACAGTAACATTAGCATATTAACACAAGCCTTATGTGGAACAGTAACATTAGCATATTAACACAGGCCTTATATTGGAACAGTATTATTAGCATATTAACACAAGCCTTATGTGGAACAGTAACATTAGCATATTAACACAAGCCTTATGTGGAACAGTAACATTAGCATATTAACACAGGCCTTATATTGGAACAGTATTATTAGCATATTAACACAAGCCTTATGTGGAACAGTAACATTAGCATATTAACACGAGCCTAATGTGGAACAGTAACATCAGCATATTAACACAAGCCTTATGTGGAACAGTAACATTAGCATATTAACACAAGCCTTATGTGGAACAGTAACATTAGCATATTAACACAAGCCTTATGTGGAACAGTAACATTAGCATATTAACACAAGCCTTATGTGGAACTGTAATATTGGCTTACTAACAGAAGCCTAATATGTAATGGCAACATTAGCTTATTAATACAAGCCTAATGTGGAACGGTAA